GGAGGGGGTTGCTGACTCCTCCTCCTCCTCGCTCCTCCTTCTCCAGCCTCCTCCTCCGATCCGCCTCCCTCCTTGCCGCACTTCTGCTCTCTTGCTCCCTACCTTGTTCTATCTCTCAATCTTTCCATCTTTTTCTGTCTTCCTGTTCCGATTTGCTCCTCCTCTGTGCTCTCCACCCGTTCTCTAGGAATCAGCGTTATTTCCTGTTCAAGAACACAACAGACATGTCCCTTGAAGTTTGCAGGAGGTACTTCTCCTCCCCTCTCCTCTCTTCTGCTGTTCCCCTTCCCTCTCCTGCTCTCTCTTCCTCCTCCTCCTCGTCCACCACCACCACCACTTCCTCCTGCTCCTGCTCCTCCTCCTGCTCCTCCTCCTCCTCCTGTGCCATCATCTCAAGCTTCTCTGCAGGGAGATGACGTGGGCGCTTCAAGAACTCTCTCTCTCTCCTCATAACGACAGCGCCTGGGCCTTCATCCGGGGTCTCCTCCTCTCTCACTCCATCCGCGACTTCCCTGAACTTGTGGTATGTCATCCCCCAACTGAACTCCCTCGCGCTCCCACTCCCTTCCTCCTCTCCCTCCCCCTCCCTCCCCTCCCTCTCCCTCTCCCTCTCCCTCTCCCTCTCCCTCTCCCTCTCCCTCTCCCTCTCCCTCTCCCTCTCCCTCTCCCTCTCCCTCTCCCTCTCCCTCTCCCTCTCCCTTTCCTCTGACATGCTGCAGGATGCATTGCAGACTTACTCTTCCTCGGATTCTCCGCCGGTCGGGGCGCTGGAGCTCCAGGCGGAGCTGCTGCTGGAGAATGTGAGGAGAGGAGAGGAGGGCAGAGGAGAGCAGAGCAGAGGGTGTAGGAGGAATCGAGAGTGAGAACGAACGAAAGCAGCAGCAGACAGGAGCAGGGAGTACGACAGGAAGGCAGAGGAGGAGAGAGGGAGTGCAGAGAGCTGGTCAGTAGTGAGTGGAGGGCGGAGAGAGAGTTGAAGCAGCGGATGTTTCTTCTCATGTCATGATAGGGAGGCGAGGACAACCGACTTGCCGCGCGCAGAATGTGAGAGGGAGGGGAAGGAGGAGAGGAGGGGGATGGGGAAGAGGAGAGGGATGGGGGATGGGGGATGGGGGAGGAAGAAAGTGAAGGAGCAGCAGATTCGAACGACTAGCCAAGGAGATTGACGTCATCAGAGCATCGTACTGGTAGGAGGAGACTGATTATCGTCCTCTCCCCCCTCTGCTCGTCCTGTTTCTCTTCCCCTTACTCCACCCTCCTCCCTTTCTTTCCCTCTCTTCGCCCCCCCCTCCCCTCCCTCCGTTCTTCGTCCTTCTCGTTCCCCTTCTCCTCCACTTCCTCACAAGCTGATTGTTCTTGTTTTTGTTCTTCTCAGGAATTTCCGGGCGGAACAGCACGAGTGAATTGCAACATAAGAATGCCATTGAACCGATTATTTTCACTCCTTCCCTCCCATCCTCCCTCCCTCTTCCCTCTCTCCATCTCCTGCTCCTGCTCCTGCTCCATCTCCTGCTCCCTCCCCATCTCCTCCTCCTCAGTTCTGCGCATCGTTGATGAACTCACGCACGCTCGCTCCCTCCGACGCCGAGATGAACTTCACGTTGTCCGGGAGGATCTGCGACAGATCAGCTCGAGCCCAGCTGCCATTGAGCTAGCGGGACCCACCTGGAGGATGCGGACGTACTCGTGGGCGATCTCCTCCTCGTTGGGCTGCAGCAGGACGATGTTGATGCCCTTCTGCAAGGCTCGTGCCGTTCGCCCGGACCTGAAGCAAAGTGAGGGAGAGAGAGGAGGAGGAGAGGATGGAGAGGAGGAGGAAGGGAGAGGTGAGGAAGAGACAGGATGTGAACAAGGACGCTCCAGCTCAAAGGAGGGAGGGCAGGAGGGGGAGGAGGAGAGGCTAGAAGGATAAAGAGAGCAAGGAGGCTGGAAGGAGAGGAAGGGGAAGTGCAGGAGCTCAAGTACCTGTGGCGGAATTGATCCAGCGCCTTCTTCCTGGTCCTGAGAGGAGAAGTCAGCAGGTTAACTACATCTCCTCGTCCTCCTCCCTCCTTTCTTTCCTCCCTCCCTCGTCCTCGTCCTCCACCCTTTTCCCTTCCCTCCGCCCCTCCCCTTACCCCCCTCTCTCCCTCCGTCCCTCCCTCCAGCCTCGTTCTCCACCCACCCACCCACCCTCCCTCCTCCTCCTTCGTCGCCTCCCTCCCTCCTCCCTCCCTCCCTCCCTCCCTCCGGTCCTCACTTGATCCACTGGAAGCCTCCTCTCCCCTGCTCCTTCACCAGCTCCATCTGCACGACCATGGTCACGTTGGGCACGTCGATGCCCTTGGCGACTGAGTCCGTGGCGATGAGGATATGAGCTCGGTTCTCCCTGAACCTCTTCATCATCTCTATCCTCTGCTCCCTCGTGATGTCGGATCCAGCCGTGAACTCCTGCACCCCCTGCAGGAGGTTCACTCCGATCTCGCCGTCGATCTCCCCCAGGCCCCTCCTCCTCCTACAGTCGTTGTCCATATAGATGAGCGAGTCCACTGACACTCTCCCTCCTGACTTGTTCTTGCAGAAGACGATGGCCGAGCCGGCAAGGAACATGTCCGACAGCAGCCAAGGCATCACTCCCTGCTTCTCAGCCTCCGACCCGCACTTGATGAACAGATGAGTCATACCAGCGACGTCCTTCCTTGGCACTCGGAAGCGGATGTACTTGTGGTCGACGCACAGGTCGATCAGTCTCCTCAGCTGGACGTCGTCGGGGTCGTTCTCGTCGTCGCCGATGGTCGCCGAGAAGAAGAGGACCTTGGGACGCTGCCTCTTGGGGTTCTGCTGCACGCACTGCCTGAGGACTTTGACTATGATCTCGTCCGCCGACTCTCGTCCGCCCGATTGAGCAAAGATGTCATCCACTTCGTCCGCGATCAACAGCTTCACGTCCCCGCACGGCAGCCGGTTGTCCCTCACCTTGTTGCCCAGCTGGTTGGCCGTCGACAGAATGATCTGAGCCTGCGTGTTGATCGCCGGCCCGCCTCTCCGCTCGTTGTCCACGAAGGCCCATGCCAAGTTCACCCCGCACTTGTCCCGCAAGGCAGCACAGAGCTTGTCTACCTCGTCACAGAGCTGGTCAAGCAGCGGTCGGTTGTGCGCCATGATCAGCACTTGAGGACGCTGTTTGGAGGGCTCGATCGCTGCCAGAGCCGCCACGGCAAAGCACATGGTCTTTCCTGACCCCGTCTCAGCCGTTGCCACAATGTTGAAGCCGCTCAGACTAGCTGGGATGGTGGCCGCCTGGATAGGGCGGACGGTGAAGCTGCCGCTGTCGTCTCGATTCCACTCGCACTGCCTGCCATACTCGTTGATCGCTACCACGATGTGCTCCAGGGGCACCAGCGACCCTCCGTGGTCCTGGCCGAACGTCTGGTCCCTCCCTTGCTGCAGCGTCACCAGCTCCTCCCAGTTGGCCAGCGGGGGCCGGTCAAACCCAGAGACATGAATGAGGTCCAGCTCTACTGAGCCGTACTTAAGGTTCAGGTTCGCCTTGGGTCGCCCGACGATGCGCTTTGCGCGAGACTTTGGGGCGGCCGGCATCGTCGACTTCTTGAAGAGAACGCCGTCGATAGTCTTCATCTCCTCCTCGGTGAACCCGACTCCATCCCCGCCGTCGACCAGCGCCGCAAGTTTCGCCTTGTCCGCTCTCACTTGCCCGTTCTTCATGGAGGCGAGAGGAGAGGCGTCCAGAAAGTTCCTGACCTTGTCGATGCGAATGCTGTACTTGACCGCCTCGTCGCTGTCATCGTCTCCCTTCGGATTGTACATCATCAGGATGATATGCTCCACCAGGTCCGCAAAGTCCGTGTCATCCCCGTCGGGCATCTCAGCGCTCTCCTCGTACTCGGGCTCGTTGACGTGCTCTTGCTGAGGCCGATCGTCTGTTCCCGCATGCTCTACATCGTTCGTGCCTTCGGGCACTTCCCCATGCGCCTCTTGCTTGTGTACCTGCTGCTGCTGCTGCTGCTGCTGCTCGTGCACTGGTTCCGGCTCGCTCTTGCGAGGCTCGACCGTTTGCTGCACGTGAAGAGGAGCTGGCACGCTGGAAGGAGCCTTGAGGTCCTGCTGGACAACAGCTGGTTTTGGTTGAAACGAAAATGCCGGAGCTTGGGAGGGCTGCGGTGCCATGAAGCCCTGGCTGGGAGCGCCTCCACCAAAGCTGAAGAGATTTCCCTTGCTACCTGCCGGGTCCATGAATGTGCTCGTGCCGGGGCCCTGCGGGGCTTGAGCTTGTTGCCAAGGCTGAGTTGGTTGCCCGGCGGTCAAGTTGTTGAAGCTGATAGGCGGCTGTGAGCTCTGAGGAGGAGGTTTGGACGCTTCTGGCTTTCGAGGCGCTTCAGTCAGCTGGACTGCAGCTGAAGTCTGACTGCCATTGGGTTGCTGGAAGAGTCCTTGACCTCCGAACGAAAGATGGGCGGAGGGCCTGGAACTCACGTTACGTCGAATTTAGTCTGCTGCAAGCTCACCCGTTGCTCGCCACGGGGTTGGGAGAAAACGAGGGCTGCGAGTTAAAGGAGGGGAATCCTGACTGAGAGGCTGCTGCCTGAAAGTGTTGTTTGTCCTCGACTGGTGGAGACTTATGCTTCAAGAGAGCCAGCAAGTCAGGACGCGGCGTGTCACAATGGAATAGTCACCACGGGCTTGGCTAACCCCAGCTGCTGCTTCCACGAGCCCCACTCTCCATCCTGCGAAGAACTTTCAGCTGTACTGTACTGCAACATGACTTGTAGGTTGTACTTCTAGCTTCAGCGCAAACGCTTGCATCTCATTCATCTCGGCTTCTGATATCAGCTCATCTGCCGAGACCTGGCAGCGGCTAGTGAGCTCAAGGCGTCGCAACTAGAGCAGCTGAAGGAACCAGAGCCAGCGTCTCACGATCGAGCACCATGCTCTTCAGCATCTTCAGCACTGTGTCTTTCTCGTCAACAGAACCTGCTCAAGTCCATCACTGGCAGGCAAATGCATCAAGACAAACACAATGAGTCGGCACCTAGCCGTTGCCCAAGACGCTGGAGGAGAACGTGGTCGACATCTTCTCTCGTCACTTGGAACCCGCTGGGAAAGCGATAGGACTCCATTGCCGTCGCTGTTCAGTCCCTCAAAGATGTAGCCTCAATCAGTCTCTTGGTCTTCTTTCAGCCTTCCATGCCCTGTCAACCAGCATCAACAACTGCTCTGGATTCAGTTTCTTTCTATGCACTTTCTCGCCATGATCATGATCCTACTTCAATTTCTACATTTCGCTCCTTGTCGACTCAATACACCAAGACTCCTCCTCTCATTCCCTGCGGGCCACACTGAACTTCACTGTGCCGACGCATTTCCAGAGGATCCATGCGTGCTTCTGTCTCATGTGGACATAGTTCCTCCTTCACGCATGCTCCACATCTATCATTGGAAAACGGACACCCAAAGGCTGACGACTTCTCCTGTGTCGCCTGACCGCGATCCTTTCGCACGCGAATGCATACGAGTATGAACATGTTTTAACTTCCTCCTTCGTTGACATCTGAGCATCCCTCCTGCTCTCCTTCCTGCTCCTTCATTGCCTACATCAGACCCAATCACTTTCTCCCTCCCTCCCCGTCTCTCCTCCCCTCCTCCCTCCCCCTCCGTTGTCGCAGCCAACTACACTACTAATTCGCTTCTCGCCATGCTCTGCTGATCACGAGCACCCCACCCCATCGGCAAATCATCCACGATTTCCCAGTAACCCCCACCCTTTATCATATGGATGAAGTCAGAATAACCCCTTTGTGCATCACCCCTACCTATACAATAAATCCCGTCATCATGACCCCCTTTGATCACGGGATAAGGTGGGGTGTAAATTATACCCGTGGTTGATTATGTAAAAAATGGGGTACATGATCATGTATCAGGGTAGAGGCGATGGAATACGAAAAGGGGGTAGTTATCACTCATTCGTGTGGGTGGGGTAGATCATCGTAACCAAGGGGGTAGGGTGATAACGGGTGTAGGTGGAACGGGCGTAACAGGGGGTGGGTAGCGGTGATAGTACCCTTCCTCCGGATTGTAGGTGAATTTTGTCTCAGTGGGTAGGGTGTTTTATGTCGAGAGGGCGTGGGGTGAATCAAGTTGATACAATTTTGAATGGGTGGGGTCATGTCAGGTGGGTAGGTGGGATACCGGTGAAGGTACTGATGATACATGACCACATAAACTACTTGGTTCAAGTACGGGTGATGAAAAGGTGGTGTTCAAAAGGGGAGGGGGGTTCTTGCATCTCTTATTGGATTTTGATAAGGTGGGGTAGAGGAAAGGAGGTCAAATCAGAAGGTAGGGTAGTGATTGGTGATTCCCAGCATGATGGGTAGGGTACTGACAAAATTCCAAGGGGGTAGGGTGGTGGTGTGGGGTGGGGTGGGGTCGACGAGGAGAATGTCGACGACTACTACAGGCGCTCTGGGATGGCTGGGAGAGGAAGGGAGGCGGAGGGAGGCGGACACCTATCAGGAAGCAAGATTTTAGGAAAGTCAGGGTCAAAGATATCAAACTTACAATGTGATGTTCTTGATGCAGCAGGCAGAGTTATCTGTGGAGGGGATCGTTCGAATCAAGGGGTTTTCAGTGGGAGTTTGCAATGGAAGGAGCAAATCGCTCACCTGGGCTAAGAGGTCAAGGGAAGAAGAAGATTGTAAAGCAAGAATAGAGGGTATCTAAGTGGAGAACACATAGATCATTGAAGTGCAATGTTTTTTTTTTTGTTCAATTTGTATTTTCTTTGAGACTGTTCATGCTGTGGTACAAAAAATGTTGAATGATATTCTTCAGCTTGTCCACATGCTGTTGGAAGATCATTTAGACTTGATATCCTGCTATCATCCGTTTCTTCTATTTCATTTCTGTTTCCGCTCATGTACACTCTCTAGTATCCATTCCCACTCAAACATTGATTCTTCGAACCATTGTCTCAAATTTGTTGTGAGCATTAGAATTTCATGATTGCAAGCCTTAGAATAGATGATGGACACAGTGTAAGGGATATTTGTATTGTTCTTTTCCCAACATCCAAGGTAACTAGCGATCTATGTCGAACACTAGCACCTCGTATTGCGCCCTATAACTTGAGAGCTCGTTTACTGACTTGGCTTGCATACCCGAGAAACAACTATTCGAAATCCATGATGAGTTAACCCTAATTTCTAATGAGAGAGTTCTCACAGACATGGCTCGCTTCGGTATCTACACCTTCTTGCGTTGGAACATCATGACAGGCAAGCCTAGTTGAAATAAATTTATTCCTGTTGATGTGTACCAACTTGCAGGTCCCATCGTTGGACTTCTTGGAGCCTTCACTGGATGCCTCGGTGCTGCTGCAGTGAAGAGTGTAAGAACTAAGTCAAGTGAATTCGATCAGACTGAAATCTAAACTTTGCAGATGTTAACGGATAAAGAGAAGAAAAAGTGAAGATGTAATTTCGAAAACTCACGCTAGGTCCTCTGTTTTTAAGTGTCAGTGTGGAGAATGGAGCTGCTCCTCTACCAGAGATGTGAATAATGACGAGCAGCAAAGGAGGATCTTGGTGTTTTGTTTCAGTGGTTCTCTTCATATGTGATAAACGGCTCAACTTGGCTTCTTCACGGTGAGGAGTGATCGGACACTGACTTGCCCGGGCGGCGTGAGCGGCGCGGCGTCAGACCTTTCAGACCGTGACAGGGTCGCCCGGGCCTCACTGAGTCACGGAGGCAGTGGCCCGGGCCGGGCGCCGGCCCGGCGCGCTGCCCGGCCGCACAGGCTGCCGCCGCCGGGCCCGGCAGCCCGGTGTGACCGACCCGCCGGGCGTCCGGCAGCCTGTGACCCGCCAGGCGTCCGGCCGGGCGAGGCCTGAGTGCAGTGCCGCCGCTGCAGTGCCGCCGCACGGACTGCAAGCCGCTGTTCAATCACTGAGAGTCTCGGCAGTCACGGACCGCCGGTCCGCTGCCATGATGGCCCCCGCTGGAAGGCTGAGCCCCAGTTGAAGGCTACCGTAACGGACAATTGCAGGCTCGTTGCAGACTGGTGGGTGCGGGAGGTAACGGCGGGTGTAGAGGACTAGCCTCGGATGACCCGTTCAATTGACCAGAGGATTCTGGTGGCCGGCTGAAAATACAGGGGTATGACAGAGGGAAAGAGGGTCATGGTACTTCAAATATGTAAATAGACCCTGAATTTGACTATTGATATGTTGGGTTCTTAAAACTATTGTGGGGTACTTAAGAAATACGGTGGGTACCTGAATAAATGGTGGGTGGTACAGTCAATGGGGTAGTAGACTACAACGATCGGTGCTGCTTCCAATCGCTCCTTCCACCCCCACCCCAACAAAGTAAAGATATCCTCATCACCCCCCCCTCTTTAATTTCATGGTACCCCTACCCACTAAGCTTCACAAATACACGTATTTCAAAGGGAAGATGGGTGGTAGTCATTTCACCCCTACCCCGAAACATCATCTTGCCGAGTACCAGTACCCCTCCATCTAGTCCCCCCCGCCTTCGCTGTATACCTTCGCCCTGGCACCTTCGATCCCCGACAGATTCGCTGCCATGTCTACGCATGTCTTGAAGACGATTATCTTCATGTCCTCAGCCAAGGACATCCAAGCGCCATGGTGAGAGGGAGGGAGGGAGGGAGGGAGGGAGGGAGGGAGGGAGGGAGGGAGGGAGGTAGGAAAGGAGGGGGGCATGGGGTGTCCCTATCCGTTGAATGACCAGATCATGAACCCATGTTTGATGCAGGGACAATGGGCCGGGAGTCGCTGTCTCCCGACTAGGCCCAGACAGAATGTACACTGCTAAAGCTGCTCA